GTTAGTGGTTGGTGTGGAGGCGGTGGTGTTAGTGGTTGGTGTGGAGGCGGTGGTGTTGGTGGTAGTGTTTTGTGTAGTAACAAGAGAAGGGGAGGTGATCATGCTAGTGACATCACGACTACGGTCATAGTGCTGTAATATAGGTGCTAGCAAGGGTGGTGATAATGGAGGTCCAGCTCCATGACGAGGTGTTAAGGGCAGAGGTGAATGTGTCAGTAATGCTGGAGTGTGCTGGGAATGATATTAATATGCTGGCGAGGATGAAAGTAGAGGTTTTGGTAATGAGCCTGATGGTAGCGATCGCCTCCTTTCAGTGGTGTGAGTCAGGTCACCAGCCGAGCCACAATGGCACCCAACGCAAGGTTTCACTGGAATACAAAAGCTGCTTCACTGGCTTCCACTCTGGAAACCTGGGAAAATGCCCATCGTTCAAGAATTCACTTATGAAGTCGGATTTCTTAGGATGTCCACATCAAAACTAGTCATTGTTTTTCTCGTTTAAGATTAAACCCAAGATGTGGTAGGGTTTGGTGGGGGAAAAACGACCTCAAATGTCTCCACCTTCCTTGGTCCTGAGGGACCAGTGATACCTTGTCATTCCCCAGTGGCGAGAGGCTGTGGACTGCGGGAAACAATGGGCTACCTGCCCTCACAGGCAACATTGGAACAATGGCAGCAGACACAGTCCCTCACCTGTGTGTCACTGCCTAGCTTGGACCTCAGATCCAAATCCGTGTGGATGTTCTCCCCAGCCACCCCCCAGCTCTCTCCTTCTTTCCTATCTTCTATCATGTCGCTGAGAATAAAATACCATCTCCCTCCCCTTGAGTTTCTGCAACCAAGGGGCCGTGAGAATCTCAACATCAGCTGTGCATTCAAGCATGCCAGATGCTGGCAGCTATTTCTCCAGCTGTGGTTGCCTAGGAACCTCTTTGTGCCACCTGATCCCTGGCGATGCAGCCTAATGTTTACGTTTATCTGGGGACTCCACCTCTCCATGTGAACTTCCCTTTTCATCAGGTGATGCCTGCGGGTTTTGTCAATGCCTCTCTTAGGCCTTTCAAAGCCATGCTAATCCTTTTGGCTAGAACTGGAGTGTTTAGGGAATGACAGGAAAAGGAAGGCACTTCTCATGAAGAGCATCCTTGAGGCCCTCTGCTTCGTAGGCCTGCAACTACTTCACTAGTAGTTCAACTAGTTCACTGTCAACCAGAGTCTCTTTTACGCGGGCGAGCGAGCCAAAGAGCTCAAGACAGAACTTCCAGCAGAAGCATCTTCCACTTAAAAACCAACAACACAACAGGAAAAGAGGCAAAGATTGTAATAGTACAGATATTCCAGCCCCCCCCCCCCCCCAGAATACACTATTCCAAATACTGGAAAAACCAACCTTATGCCTTGACCTTGAAGTGACATTTTGTTTGTTTGTTTTGTTTTTGTTTTTCAAGACAGGGTTTCTCAGTGTAGCCCTGGCTGTCCTGGAATTAGCTCTTGTAGGCTGGCCCCGAACTCCATGAGATCTGCCTGCCTCTGCCTCCCGAGTGCTGGAATTAAAGGTGTACGCCACCACCACCCAGCTTTAAAGTGACATTTTTATCATCAATACATAGATAGGGCAGATAGATCAATTTCTAAGATTCATGCCTTCATTCAGTCATTCAGTAATTTTTACATAGCTTGCTTTGTGAAGATCCTCTGAGACCAGGCCTGTAATAGGAAGGCTGTTAGTTTGTTCCCAGCTGCTCAGTCCCAAAATAACCACATAGAAACTGCATTAATTAAATCACTGCTTGGCCTATTAGCTCTAGCTTCTTATTGGCTAACTCTTACATCTTAATTTAACCCATTTCTATAAATTTGTGTATTGCCACGTGGCTGTGGCTTACCTGCAAATGTTTCAGCTCATCTGTCCCTGGCTGTGGCTACATGGCATCTTCTTGACTCCACCTTCCTTTTGCCAGCATTCAGTTTAGTTTTCCCCACCTAGCTCTATTCTGTCCTATCGCAGGCCAAGGCAGATTCTTTCTTTATTCATTAACCAATAAAAGCAACACATTTACAGAAGGACTTCCCACACCACAGGCCCCTTCCCAGAGGCACACAAGCAGAAAGCACAAGACATGGTTTTTTACGGGGCCCTCTACTCTAGTAAACAGAAGCCATCAATAAACAAGGCCAGCAGCAGAACAAACTCTCCACAAGGTGGAGATCACATGATCTCATGATGCTGAGCATAACGAGGGGGCTGAACGGATACTGAGACAGAGGAGGCCAGGTGGCAAGGGCAGCTTTACATGCCATGGGTAGCAGAGAGACATCTCAACTGATATCTGAGATGATAATCAGCCAGATCCCAGAATCTGGGATAACGGAGGATTTGCAGGTACAGTCTTCCCCGGAGGCACACAAGCTTCACTCACTTAACAGAACAAAGAGGAGAAGCGGGGTGGCCAAGGCTTCATAACTAGAGAGAGAGAATGGTTGAGAAATATAGTGGAAAGTGGGGTTGGGGCAGATCATGTGGAGAACACTCGAGTATTACCAAGCAGGGAGAATGATGTAATCCAATCCATAAAACACAAGGATTGCCCTGCCTGGGGAAGATTGGTCAGTAGTGAAGACAGGACAGACGGGAAGTTGAGCCCGTTAGGAAGAGTCAGTGATCTAGAAAAGAGTAAGAAAGGTAGACCGGCACAATGTGTGTTTATTCAGATAGGGTGTTTTGTACTCATGAGGACCTGAGAGGGAAGCTCACACACGTAAGGAGCTGGGCTTGCCTGCCTGTGCCTGTAACACCAGCACTGGAGGGGCAGAGGCAGGCAGTCTGGCCAAAGTGGTGAGCTTCCGCTGCAGTGACAAGGAAATAAGGTAGAGAGCAGTAGGGAACATCTGCTGTTCTGCCCTGTCCTCCACACGCGTGAGCAAAGGCTCGCATGCCCACACTTCCGTATACATGCAGCACACACAGGGGGTAAAAAGAAAGCTGAAAAATGAGCGTTACTCTCATTCCGTGTGCAGATTTTAACTGCACAGCTGCTATATGCCTTTTAGGCAATAATCGTGGCAATGGGTGGTATGAAGTTAACCCTTGATATGCTGTCCTGATCTGGTGTGCTTTTGATTCTAAGAGAGTAAGGGGTGTACAGATTTCTTTGTCCTCAGATCCTGGAAGCCAGGGGTATTTTGGAAGTTTTTTGTGTGTTCTATTGACCCTGAAGCAGTAGCATTTTCCAGACCTTTCTTAAGCCATGACCTTTCAGTATCTGTGAGAGGAGCAATGACCTTCATCTGGGCCTGTGGCGTGTACCTCTGAGGTACCACTGAGGAAATGGACCTCCTCCAGAGCATGACACCTTCCCCCCTGTCTCCTAGAGACAGCTGTGAAGACAGCATGGGCTTGTCTCTGTACCCAAGAGGATTCTGAAACCTCCTATCCCTTCCACCAAGGGTTGTTAAGTTAGTGCTGCTGCTGGCGCGGCCTCCAGGCTCAGAGGGTGAAGTGTCTGAGAAATGACCAAGCATTTGTGCACGCTCACGTTAGAAATAGCATTCTTGCCATTCCCTAGCTAAACCCCTGATCAAGCTCCTGCATGCTCCAATGCAGGTGACCAGCTCTTTTATCCTTTGGTTTTTACCCCCAAAGAGAGCAATAAAACTTGCAAGATGATCATCTGTTAGCCATAGCCTCCCTGACCCTCACCATGATAGGAACATTATTAGAATAAGCTGACAGGCTCTGGGAGTTCACAGCATGGTTCCTCTTCTTCCTGAATATGTAAAAGGGGATCTGGGGACAAAGAGGTCCTTCCACTTGGAATGGTCCGCGATAAACCAAGCTGTATGAGGCCAAGAACCTGCCCCCGTGCCCATCCTTCCATCCTTGGCACCTGGCTTTTATTGCTGACGATTTTGCTTTCCTTCTGCTTTCAGCTCAAAACACTGGAGTCTCGACTTTGTATCGGAATTCCTACGGTGCGCCCGCTGAAGACATCAAACACAACCAGGTGAAGTGCAAGCAACAAGCTTGTGTTCTCGTTCCTGTTGCCTTGCGTGGCCTAGAATCCTAAATTGGTTTCTCAAGGAGTAAATTGACTTCTGCTTCACATTCATCAAAACAAAAGCTGCCCAACGTTCTGTCCTCATATCCAGGATAGTGTACCTGCACATGGTACGGTCGCAGGCTTTAAACAGCCTCGGGCTTCAGGACAGCTCCTGGCTTCGCTATCACTTCCTGCCTGGCAGGAGAAAGTAGGCGTCACTCTATGATACTGTCTGGTTCGGATGTGGTGTATCCCCAGGGTTCATGTGGCAGTGCTTAGGATGTAGGACCTTTAAGAAGTGGAGTCTGGTGGAAATGCATGGACAACACTGACCCTAAAAATGACTACAGGAGTCCCTGTGAGGCCCAGAGTTAGCTTCCTCGGGATCCACCCCTTTCTCCTGGGGCACAGTTCAAACCCCAGGCAGTTTCCCTTACGTGCATGAATGTACTCTAACCGGTGCCATGCCCTCTGAAGTCCAGTGCTGACACCATGCCCTTGGACATCCTGAACGAAGAGATAAATTATCCTCTTTCTTTGATAAAGCTACCCAGCCTCAAAGGTCCCATGATACAAGTGAGAAACAGACTGCAGGTTAAGCCTAAAAAGAAAGCCCCCAGCGAGACGAGTGCAAGATGCCAGTGACTGAAGCAGAATGGAGTTTCTCTTCCCCAGTCATCTGTGATTAACACAAAAGCCTTCCATGACACATAATATTTACCCATAACAGAACCTCCTCTCTAAAAAACTAAGTGTTTGTAGTCCGAGTCTCTATTTGCTTTATTCGGGAACTGTTCATTAAAGGATCATTTTGCCCATTTCTATGGGACTATAAGAGCAGAGACAGAGGCTGGGCCTCCCTGATACACCGCCATTTGCTGCCCTCACTCCTGTGGTGGGCATCAGAGCTAGTGTGGCTCTCTGCAGCTAATTAGCCTCTGTGGATGCCTTCAATTCTTGTCACACTTCAGAAAAGTCGCATGGAGATGCATAACCGAAAGCCACGCGCTAATTGCAATGGCTAGGGGTAGGAAAGCTTGGAGAGTGTGTGGCTTTAGAATAATACCAGCACCCAGGAAAGCAGCATCCCGCTCCAGCAGGTGGGCGTGTCCTGTGCAGTCCTGTTTCTAAGGAAGGGTAGGAGAACACTAAACTGTCCTTGAACTGCAGTTGGATTTCACGTCTGATCAACCACCGGCAGGAAATGTGACCCTTAGCAGAGGCGTCGCCCTCCTACCTTCTGTGTTCCGGTCTGTGCACACCCACTCCGGACATCTGGCGCTGTTATAACCCTCCCACCCATGAATGCAATGGTCCTAGAGCCTGCCTACCTGGCATATTGCTAATGGCAACGTGCCCCCCTTCAATTCTGGGCTTTACTACAAGCAAAAAAAAAAAAAAAAGCTAGTGAGCAGTAGACAGGAAATCGCCAAGTGGCCTCAACTGTTTTCTTGAACAGTGAACTTGCCTCCCTGTAAAGATGGGGCCAAAGTGTGCTAGAGATATCAACTCTGGTTATGGAAATAAACTTTTTCTCCTTATAGTAAAAAAAAACCATGAAATTCTGTAGCTATGTAGAGCAAGAACTCTCACGCTCTCGAAGAGATTTGCAGGGGTGAAAAGAGAATTCTTGACTTTGCAGCCAAGAGTACAGATTTACCTTTAACTGCTCAGGTAGCAAAAAAAACTGGCCCCAGAATCAGCGCATCCCATGGCAGCCAGCCTTCCTGTCCATGCAATCCTGCTGTGCTTGGTAATGAAAACATAGCTGGTATAGCTCAGGCCCGGTCTGACTGCAGTAGCTCCAAAGACTGTTCCCTATGTTTGTAGAGCAATCCACAATGTTCTCAGAAGCACATTTTAGAGAATGTTCTGGCCATTTATGGAAACTAGAACTAAGATTTGCAAAGTACCAGAGAACAGACACCTGATACAGGCCAGGTATGGCTCCTCAAACCCATAATCCCAGCACTCGGGGTGCCGTTGCCATTAGTTCAAAGCCAGCCTAGGCTGAATAGTAAGTTCTACGCTAGACAGGGCTGTAGAAAAAGAACCCGCCTCTAAAGGAAGCAGTCATAGAGAAGGGTCAGACAGCAGCTGGCCTTAGAGAGCTGGGTCTCCGGGACGTTGCGGAAGACTGGAGTCCCGAGAAGAGGGCACAAGTGCCAGCACCTGATGTGTGAGCTGCATGGTCGGGTAGGGAAAGAGCCCTGAGCCACACTGCTGTGACTCCACAGAAAAGGAGCTGAGCTCCGGGGCACAAGTCATGTGACTCCCAAGAACTCCTTGCACATTCTTAGGAACTACGTACATAAAGTCTCCCAGGAGAAACAACCAATAGTGTAAAGTAAAGTTGATGATTCTTGCTTCTTATGCCTGGTGACAGGTCACATATCTTATTTTGATACTCCCCAGCGTCCCTGTGAACTTCTATTCATCAATATCATGTTCATAAACGCAAATATGTCTAACTATGCGTGCCCGTCTGGCAGGGGAAGTTTTTGTTCATAAGCTCTCCGTAAAGGAGGTTCTCGTTTTGATGACCAGTACTCAAAGTTATACTTAAACCATGACCTTGAGGATTTGCTGTTGTCATTGTCCTGAGTCCCAGTCTCCAGCAAGCAGACAAGTCTAACTGTCACAAGAGATAAGGAAATGATCCTCCAGGGACAGGGTTTACCTTCAGTCCTCCTCCTGGAAGAACCGAGGATTCAAACCGATTCTTCTGTCTGTGTCCTACTTCCTGTCTCTTGTCCCGGTGGCCTTAAAATCTGGGCATGAGTCCCACTCCCCCTCTATTTCTCACCCCTCACCCCCACTACCACCACCCAATGCTATCAAACCATAAATCTGTGGCCCCCAAACCAGACTGTCTGATTCAATAGATATGGGTTTTAGCCCAAGAATGTACATCTTGGGCAACCTCCTGCTGCGGTGACAACATTGAGACCCAAGATATAGAATAAAATGGAAGTCCTTCCAGCTTGGCCCACTTTATTAACGCTCTGAATCTTCAGTTTTCCTGACCAGGAAACATTGAAGATCCTGTCATCCACAGCTATTTTTGCTTGTGTTCAAAATAAATCCAGCTTGCTAGTCAGTCTTGATCTTTTTTCTCTGATACTGTAAAAAAATGCTGGAAGCTGGGTGCTACATAAAGGAAATAAGTTTATTTCCTAGGTGGGGAAGCTGAAGGGACAAGACCAAGAGGCCCCATCTGTTCAGTGTCTTGTAAAACCTGTCCTGGCTGCACAGTGTGCCTGAGAAGCAGTAAAGAGATGTGTTTGCTGCAGAAGAGGCCAGCAGAGTAGGAGTCGGAAGGGCAGACAGATGGAAGTAAATAGACAGATGGAAGACACAGATACAGGCCTCTGTGGCATGCACATGCATGCACTTCTGCAACACTTTGAGGAATAAGAAAAGAACAATTTATTCAATACTGAAGGCGATGCTTACTGACATATTGACAGTTAGTTCTAGTAAGTGCCCTGTGCGAGTTTCTAAGCCCTCTGACTGGACCCTTCAGTGCTTCGAACTCTGACTATAGCACAGTCTCACAGAGCACACAGCTCTTTCTGGAATGGGCAGGGTGCCCTCCCACGCAGGCAGCCTGTTAGACCTGGCCTTCATGCATGTTGCAGGCTACTTCCAAAATTCCTCTCAGGCCCAGGGTCTGGGGCTAGCAGAGGTTAATGCTCCATGCGCATCCAGACTTTCACAGGCAGAGAGAAGTCTCACTCATTCGCTACCACTAACTGGAGGTATGAGGCACCCTGGACAGCCCTCTGTGGAGAACCGATCGATTGCTGGTATAAATCAATCCTATATAAAAGATGGAGTTTCTCTTGAAAGAAGAATTCTATGTGGCTCATTAGAGGCATTCATTATACACACTGTGCTAATAACAAATCACTACCTATTAGCTAAAGTCATTTCCAAAGGCGGCTACCACACTCAACCTTAGCAAAATTAATAGGGAATTACCGAGTCTGCTGGATAGTCATCAAACTGTATCTTCCCCCAGTGTTTTGTAATCCATGCCAGACATCCTGGCTATTACAGGCTAGAGCTTTACACATCACCGTGGACACAGGCTGTGAGGTCCCCCTCATCCCATACCTGGGTCAGGTACCTGAAAAGGAACCCGAGAGTCTCTCAAAACAGAAAGAGGTAGAGGGCTGCAGAGGGGTAGGGGATGGTTGGTTAATATATTATCAGCCCAGGAACGTTCCTTATCTTCCTCTCACTAAAACCAAGCAGAGGAACCCCTTCTTGACTCCTAACCAGGCTCTCACGTGACCTTTGAATGCTTTGAGCCCCTACAGCAGATAGCAAACCACAGAGGCCAAGCCCAGGAAGTACTGAGTTGGGACACCTGAGGGCATTGTAGACACTATGAAAAGCTTCAGAACGCCCCTGAAGTACTGAGGATCAAACCCAAGGCCTCAATATCCCTTGACCTTCTGAAACTTTAGCTTTGAGGCAGAGTCACACTGAGTTGCCAAAGCTGGCCTTGAACTTCACCCATTCTGTCCCAGCCTCCCTCATCTGTGGTTTCTCAGGTGTAAACCATTGTTCCGCAGCCTTTTTAATTTGATTAGTTCTTAATTGCACCAAGTGGCAGGAAACTTTTGGTCTTCCAGAAGGTAGAATATTTGGAGTGCGTGTCTGTCTGAGGTCCTAGTCACTCTGAGCAGGTGTGATGGAGTGGACCAACCACAGGGAAGCTACAATCCCTTATGTAGCCACAGGAATGTGTTATAAGCAGGAGAGAGTGGCCCTCAGACCTTGTCCGTTTCCAGCCTCTGATACTGCAGCACCTGAGTCTGATGCCGACAAACGTAGAAAGATGAAGGGGACACCCTGTATCACCCTGTATCTTTAGCGTTCAGTCCACATTCACTCCACAGCTCACCCCAGAGCTGCTATGACAAACAGTTGGGGTGCCTCACAGGGCTACACATAGAGTTATCATCTGGTCCAGGGCACACACCCACAAAACCAAACTCTTAATAGACAGAGGGACATCCAATCATCCCATTTGGTTTTGGATGAACAAAATGTGGTGTGTCCATTTTTTATTCATTCTTCAAAAAAAAATATTCTGACAAATTCAACATGTAGAAGTGATGAAAACTTACTGACGGAGACAAGCCAGACACACAAGCATAAATAAATACTGTGTGATTGCATTCATGTGAGGACAGAAGGTAGACAAATCCGTAGAATCAGAAACTAGTTTGGACATTGCCAGGATCTAGGAGTGGACAAGAGGTTTAATGAGTATAAAACCTGGAGCCACCAAGCCTGCCTAGCCAGCTTGCCCCAGCTTGCCCTGTCTCTGGCTCTCTGGTGAAGGGACTATACGCGCCCACCACACCTACCAACCTTGATATGGGTTCTGGGAATCCAAACTTGGGTCTTCAATTTCGTGCCAAGAACTTTATTCATTGATGTGTCTCCCTAGTCCACTGGACCAGTTATCAAACCTCTCCTGGCCCTCTCTTTCCTGGCTAGGACATCAGATCAAACATATTCGTTCTCCTACAGGGCTGCTAAAAAAATCAAGTTGCTTTCAGAGAAGAAGCATAGACCAGTGGTCAGCTGAGTCAGGAAGAGTGGAGAGGAAGAGAGAGAGGGATGCCAGATGAGGACTCCCCGGCCCCGTGAGACAGGGGAGTGAGCACTCACATCCTCAGTACCACAGAGTGACACTCAGGATGAGGTCTGTGCGCCTTCTAAAGAACTAGAAGGGGAGGAGTTTGAAGATTTCTAACAGAAGGAAATAAGTGGCCAGGGAGGTCGAAATGCTACTCAGCACGTTGAATACTAGCATCAAATCGCCAAACCCGCACCCTATAGATACGAAATTAAAATTAAGAAGTCAAATTACATGGAAAGAACACAGCCAATGGCGCTGTGTGCAGAAAGCCCCCGGCTCCAGCCCTTCCCGTGCAGGGGCGGTAGAGAGGCGTGGGGAAAGGAGGGTGGGGTAGGGGCCGGCTAACCCAGAGTAACACCTTCTCTCTGGCAGGTTTCAGCACAGCCTGTCCCCCAGGAGCCCAGCAGGAAAGACTATGAGACCTACCAGCCGTTTCAGAATTCCACACGAAATTACGACGAGTCCTTCTTTGAGGACCAGGTCCACCACCGCCCTCCAGCCAGCGAGTACACCATGCACCTGGGCCTCAAGTCCACGGGCAACTATGTCGACTTCTACTCCGCTGCCCGCCCTTACAGCGAACTGAACTACGAAACGAGCCACTACCCGGCCTCGCCCGACTCCTGGGTGTGAGGGAGAGGAGCCAGGCCACGCGCGCGAGGCACTCCGGGAACAGTGCATGTGCATGCATACCACGGGACATTCCGTTTCTTTTCTTTTCCTTTTTTCCCCCCTGCAGATTTAGTTTGTTAAAGCCTGTTCCATAGGAAGGCTGTGATAACCAGAAAGAAATACTCAGAGCTATTTTAGAAAGCGAAATGAATTGAGAGTTAACTGGGAAATCGAGAGGAGGCTAAGCGCCCTCCTAAATGTGACCATATTCAACACCTTTCTAGTTTGAGCTGTAGAGGTTTCCAAGTGCTTTATAGGTCATGCTGTGAAGGAAGGAGGGAGGAGACAGTCAGGGTGGTGGGCCTGGAGGTTATCACAAAGCACAAGACAGAATAGTTTCCACTATGGGGGCCGGCTTCTCACGCTTCCTTACTCCCTTCATCCGTGTGACTCTAGGCTTCCAGTTACATTGGGGTTTCTCTGTACAGCAAGACGTCTCTTGCCTTTTGTTAATGCATTGTTGTAAAGTATTCAATGTACATTACAGATTAAAGAAGAAGACAGCATTGTGTATATTACACCAATGCCGCCGTGTTTCCTCATCAATGGTTCTAAATATTGCTTCAATTTCAAACTTTTGAAAGATGTATGGATTTCCAGTTTTCTTTTCATTTCTTTCTCCCAGTATGTTTTAACAAAAAAGAAGAAAAAAAAAACAGGAAAAAAAAGGAATATTTAGCAGTATTGTTCGTTCTGATGTGTGATGTTTGTGGCAACTAAACAAGGCATCCAGCAGTTTCTCACAGCTAACACGTCATTCCACATCCTTGTCAACAAAGTGCTTTTTCACTGCCCAGAATTTTAGATGTAGATATTTGAAATAGATTTTTTTCATTTATACCAGTTTTCTTTATGATGATACAGTGTTAAAAGAAAATAAATTACAATTGATCTGTCATCCATATTTGCTAAGAATGTCTGTTTCCATGGACCAATCTTACAGAATACACACTCTTGCTCGTGTGTCTGTGCGTGTGTGGGTGCGTATGTCGGTGTATGTGTAATGCCCTGCGTGGGATTTTCTTTGGATAGAAGCGACTTCATCTGCTGTCCATCCTGTCCAGGCCTTTTGTTTTCCCGGCATCCGTGTGCATCTGTTTGTTCCTTTTGTAATGTATCTACTACTCTCACCATCTAGTGGCTCAGGATATTAGCCCAGCTGAAGTAAGGTAGGATTCTCACATGTTCACACATTCTTGGATACCAACTCTTTCTACAGGTCAACCCCGTCCACATTTGATGCCCTCGGAACATGCTAAACCATGGCCAACTCGGTAGTTTCCCTTCGGGGCCAATTACTTGAAGTATCCATAGAAGATGTAACCTGCCCGCCTTATGCCCTCTCAGACGTTGTTGTTCATGTGGCAGGGAGCAGTAGACAATTATGGGCTAGATGATTAAAACTGAACTTGAAGCTAACGTTAGACTAGTGGTTAACAGAGCTAAGAAATAAGGCTAACCATTTCAGAGAACGTGGGCTGTGGGTAATTAGCTTTGCTCTTTAGATGCAAGTGACTGAGGCCAACAGGTGCCTGGCAAATGTTAACTGTTCTTGGAAAAAAAATAAAAAATAAATAACGAAAGAAATTGGCTGCCATCTTCCTTTAAAACCTGATCTCCCCACCACCACCACCACCTTTGTCTACACAATTTAATCCACCTCAAAGTCGAAAAGCAGTGGCTTCAAAATTAACAATAACTCAAATATACTTTATTCATGTAGCATTTGGGGAAAATAAAAGTTAAATTTCCAGAGTAGAACAGCAGGCAGACATGGGAATTGTCCTATAAATTGCATACTGTGTTGTTTCGTCTATTAAGGACTCTTGAGTTCCCTCAAAGAAGTGTGTTCCCATCCATGCAGAAAGACAAATGTGTAGCGTCACGGACAAGGAGACGTCATATTTCCTGTGTCACGGGATGAAATAGTCTTGTTTGTCAAGGCAGAGACTGTAGCATCACTTACCACAGCCTAATGGCTGGTTTTGTCTTCTCAGTTTCTTGCTCTGAGCTAAACAGAGGGAAATAAACACGTGTTGAGAATCTCCTTCTTCCAGAAAGAACTTGCTATTTTCTTCTCGATTCTGAGTCTCAAAGCATGGCTCTCACATCAGCAATTCTTGAAGACTGAAGGATATTTTTGCTATCTCTAGTTCCTTAAGAGTTCTTCGTACCAGGCTATGATTAACTAACTCATCTGGCATCACAGATAAAGATACAAAAGAAGATCAAGGTCAAACTTATTTAAACCAATCCATTTTTCCTTTTTGAATATGTTCATACAGACATAGACACAAGACAAATGTAGCCTGACTGTGAGGGACAGAAAGATGATCAACACGGAAGGAAGGAGAGAAGGAAGGAGTGGGTGAATAGGTAATTCGTGGGTGGAAAGGCTTGACCTGAACTGTAAAGTACCCCAAAGCCCCCATAGGCTTCTTTGGCAAAAGCTGGTCAACAGTTGAGTTGTGATTTGTAACACGGCACACACTGGATAAAATATCAAGGTGGAGAGGGACTCTTCTGTGGATTTCCTTTCACTGTGTTGATGACCACGTGCGACAACCTATCCCAAGTGGCTGCCTCTATAATCCGGATCCCCCTCCTGAGAAAAGAATGGTGGGGTTCAGAAGAATATCTGGGAACCCCAACATTTCTTTTTCTATTTAATCCTTATAATAGAAAATAAATATACTCAATTTACTTAATAGATAAAATTTAGATCTTATATATGAAAAATAGACACCCTTTTCACTTGGGAATGCCATCAGCAGAAGCTAAGGAGTGCTTGGCATTGTATTGAAAGATCTTAGTTCACAGACTAAGATACTGGATCGATTATAATGCACCCAGTACTTTGATCCTTATTAACAAGCATTGAAACTGAAAGGCAGAGTTTAAACTCAGCAGTAAAGCAGACACCATCAAAAGCTCCGTGTATTTTATGTCCTGTTTCTCTTACCTCAGCTCTTCTTTGTCATGTGGTGTTGTCACCCTGGGTCCTGGGAATTGTGTCTCCAGAGGTACGATTTCTGTCTGGAGAAACTGGGTATTGTTCACATGGGTGGAGGAAATACGCACAGCCTGTGCCTGAGAAGCCTCCATTTTCAGCATTACTCCCCCAGACCAACAAGGACACTCTGGCCAGTCCATCTCTGCCTGTGATGTGGAGGCTGCAGTGGTCAGTCTGTCAACCCAAGGCTAACATTATCAACTAATCCTTACCACCCAGCCGACAGCCGTGCTAGACTCCGTAAGACAAAAGAGAAGAGTAAGCCAAGCTTCTGGGAAGCACACATTGTATGTTAGAGATCACTGGTTGTCCAGTCCACCCACATCCAGAAAGATTTTCTGGGGAAATGTGTTCCTGTAACTCTGGTCTCCGAAATGCTATTGGTCAGCTTTTTCCTCGGGATCCTGCGAAATCCTAAAGCCAGCAGCGATTATGCAGCTTGATTTGAGACAAACAGCCTGTGCAGTTTCCAAGCGTTTCATGGTCTGTGCCTATCATTTGTCTGATGACCACTTGGTTAGTTCTCCTGTGAAGACGGACACTTAAAAGAAATCCCACACTAGCTTGGAATTGAGAAATAGAGGGTTATTTATTTAGGGGTAAACTCACAAATCAGAATCCTCTGCTGTAACAGAGATCAGAAACCGAAATCCGCAACCGGAACAGAGGGAGAGGCCGGAAAAGAGGCCGGACGCATGCTATGCATCAGCATATATGGTATAAGAGGCCACGCCCCAGTGGGTGGGTTACCACAAGCTGTTAGACTTCCTACAGCACTCCTGTCCATGTTTGGACACAAGGTGCTGCCCAGAGTGTTGTGTTAGGGAGTTTATGGTGCGCACCTGATCCCATCGGAAAATCTGAACCTTTCGTCTTCTCATTTACCCTGAAGTTCCCACATCGACAAACTAGTACTTGAACCCTTAGTAAGAGAACTGGCCCTTGGGTTGCCAAGGCTTCATTTGGGTCCTAGAAACCAGCCCTTTTCACCTCAGGCCAGGATCTCACTGGCCTTGGAGAAGGCTCTGTGGACAGTCTCTACACGGAGTATCCTCCTGTATCCTGTAAAGCTAAGTGAAAAGTGTAATGTCCTTGGCCTTACAAAGAGAAGGGAACAAGATCTCTTGCTGTAACATCAGCTGTGACTGGAAGACTCCAGGTTGTGGACATGTTTTTTTTTCAAGGTGCATACTAAAACCTCTGATTAATTCTATAAGCTACATGACCGAGAAACTCAGACCTAACCTTGGGTATAGGGATATAATTGATGTCTTTGATTATCAGCCTGTTTTTCAACAGGCAGAATTCATGGGCCTGTAATACATGAAACTTCCTTATTTTTATTTTCCATCCTCAGCAAATCTCATTTTTAAGTGCCATTGCTCTATACAAATCATCTTCATTATAATCTGCACGTGAGTTGCCCAGTGAGGAGTGGGATTTTCCCATGAAACAATCACCTGTACTGGATATGGTGGGATTCTTTCATACAATCATCACATTCCAAATACCGTAAGAACATGATAGCAACCAGCAGGAGAAAGGTCAGAGAAGCCAGGGGCATTCTGGAGACAGTCCCTGCCCTCCTGGGCTTGGCCTCCCTGGGGTGCACACATCATTACTGTGCTACCGTTGTGAGCTGTACTCCGTGAGCTCCACTGCTGACCAGAGCTCCTCCAATGTGGTCACTGCTGGAGGAACTTACATGCGTCAGGGAAGGGAAAACAGAGCATCATGCTACTGTCCAAACAGGGCGGAGAGACTTTCATAAGAGGGGAGTAGGAAATCTCCCTGACAGGATAGAGAGGAGGAAGAGGGCTGAGAAACAACCTTTGCAGGGCAGGTGGGACCTTGGAGGGTGGGTGTGATGGCAGAGAGGGTGGGTGAGGAACACTGACCAAAGACACTATAGGGTGTACAAGGAACCATTCTGGGAGGACTGAAAAAGCCTGCAGACCACAGAGCGGCGCTCATGCTCACGCTGATGATTTGACAGCCCCTGCCCCTGCCACAGAAACACACACACAGGTGTGCGCACGCACGGTTTTTTAAACTCCAGCACAATTTTAACACTGTTCTCTCTGTCCTGTTTACCACTATCAAGTGACTCCTAGGAGATCCAGACCCTTTTCAAAAAGAGAAATAAGTTCAGTAATATCATATGGCTTTTAGTGATATTACATAGCTAACAAATTTCATAGCTAGTCATAAAATTGAGGCTTGTTACCTTGGGATGTGATTAGCAGTCTGCCAAGCACAAAAGCCGTATGGAGACAAAAGGGTAACCAGCATCCACCCTTCACTTAGTACCATGGCTTCTGTATGTAGCAGTGGGGAGCAAGTTTAATCCTTATTCCTTTGGGTTGGAGAATCTGTCTGCAGGTTTCCTCAAGAAAGATCATTTACACTGCATCCTATACCACAACGACTGCCGTCCTGTTTACTGTTGCCATGGATTCCCAGGTTCCCATCCTTCACCCCGTTGCACCTGTCTTATCCGGGCCACTTCTCATTTCTCCTGCGTGCACGGAGGTGACCATCAGCAGATCTGCACTGTCCTCTAAGAAGTCCTTGGCTGGACATGTCCTCAGTCTCACAGCATCTCCCTTTGTGCGTGCGTGCAGCAGAAAAGCAAGCGTCCACTCCTGAAAGCTACAAAGAATCTTTAGACTTGTAACTGAAGCCAGACATCTCAGATATTCAGACAGTTCAGTCACACAGACCCTCATGCAAATAACATGCAAACCACTAGCCTTGGTAAAGCTGTGTACACTACAAGAGTAGTCTGTCATTAATGAAAGAACTGCTGCAATATCATTGAGTATATTTTTGTTGTTTTAAACTTTTTGTTAGTTCACTGGAAATTTCATATAATCTATTTTGATCATACCCCCATTACCTACCCACCCAGTTCTGTGTAACCACCATGGCTGTCATGGAACTCGCTTTG